CCACTTATCCCATTAATCCCATTAATATTATAAATGTGAAAGTTTGGATGGATGGATGTTTGTTACTTAATCACGCCACAACGGCTGAACGGATCTAGATGAAATTTGGCACAGATATACATCATAGTCTAGAATAGTTATCTCTATATCTAGTTAATTATACCGGTAAAATACATGATTCTCGTAGGATATAGGATATATATATATTTTAATTTTTCGTAGCGCAAAGCTTCGCGTAGCATACGCATCTAACCGAAATGCGGTGGCTGTAATACTACACTGGGGCCGACACATGGAGTGTGGGCAAAAGCCTCTTCTGTACAGAGGGTATCAGGGCATAGTCCACCACGTGGCCCCACTGCGGATTGGTGGACTTCACATATCATCGAAATATTTTTTTTATTATTATTTAGAAGATATGCAGGTTTCCTCTCGATGTTTTCCTTCACCGGAGAGCACGTGATAATTCAGTGCATTGGTGCCGGCACCGGGGATTGTACTCAGGTTGCTCGAGTATATTAAAGGCAAGCGCCCGGACACTGAGCTATCACGGCTCTAAATAAATCAAACTGAAACTAATATTAGCCGTCTAAGCTAGATGATTACGATATCCTATGTCAGGCTTTAAGGTAATTAAAAGAATAATAACGTAAACATTACTAGGGTTTAATTCATTTCATAATCAGGGTCATAGTCAAAGTCAAAGTATCTTTATTCAATATAAGCTTAACTTCAGCTCTTATTGAACGTTAACATAAAACATACCATACCGTAGCCTCGCTTTGTTTGTTAGCGTGCGACTCGTTCCGGGTCATTTTGCAGGATAATTTGTAGGAAGATGTGAAGAACAGCAGTCCAGCTCTGCAACAGCTAATTCTCAATGTTGCCCGCCGCAATAAGGTTGTACTTAAGTTTATCCCGTACCGAGTTCCGAGGACGGGAACAATATGAAGCGCAGGTAAAGGTTTAGCGTAACTATAAATTTGTATTGCAAGGGAATAATGCGACTGCTTGCATCGAGGTGTACCGCCGTATGTTCTTCGCGAGGTTTGAGCGTAAGGTCAAAAGTCTATACGTAGGTACGTGTGCAACAGGAATAAATTAAACATTACTGGCACTTGTATGAGAAAGAAAGTGGTAGGCGTAAATTAGACAACCGGATCATATAGGACAGGGTGACACTCGTCTGGTTGTATGTATTTTATTTTTTTTGTTATTTCCTACTGAAAATTTAGTAATAACGACATGGTTGTTACACATATACTAAGTTATGGCTAAGAGAATCAGTTAATATAAGTTAGTTTTCCATGGGTAACTTAACCAACAGTCGCTTGATTAAGTGATTACTTGAATTTTTAACGATATCAATACAAGTTAGCTCCATCAGCATCAGCATTTAGATCGATAACAGTGTATCGGAGTACGATTAACGTCTTTTATTATCATCACCGAACCTATCTGCAACGGTTTTAAACGGTCTAGTGAAATGCTTGTAATAATTGTCACTGACGAAGCCGATTAATGTTCACATATGAGTGATCCGCATCGGGGACAGCTGTTAAAGGCTCCAAGGTTAAAAAATGACCTGGCGTCAATACGGAAAGATCGTTGGGATCAGAACTGATAGGCATAATGGCCTAGTATTAAGTACAGCTTCGATTTGTATGAACAGCGTTGTCAGCTCCTTGAACGATAAAGCCTGGTCACCAACAACACGAAGTAAATGGGGTTTAGTTGTCCGAATCTGTATTTCCCATATGCCACCATTGCCACCTAAGTGTGGGACGGAGGGGGGATTAAACTTGAATTCGATTTTCAGCTGGAGAAGCCTGTTGCATTATAGATGAAAAATATTTTTAGCCCCGACAAAATTAGTACCGCAAACTGCATGTATTTGGTGACAGCGACCACGGCGTCCAACGAAACGCCGCAACACATCTATAAAGCCCTCTGTGGAAAGTGCAGAAACCAGTTACAAGCGGGCGGTTCTTTGGTGGCAAGACAGACGAAGAGGCATTAATAAGCCTTGTCCATCTTACCCCCTCGATGTGAACCTAGTTTGATCCGAAACGGTCCACCCAAGTTAACGCCTACTATCGAAAACGCTTTGAACTGGTTAACACAGTACGACGGAAGTTCGTATATGGTTGTAACGGTTGAGGATTTAATCGATTACATTGCATACATTTTGCGAGACGTCCACGGATCACAAGTTTAGCGGAAATATTCCAAAATTATTGCAATAACAAGAAATAAGTAGTGTTAATTCCCAGATGGAAATAACTTCGATGAATAAAGTCAAAGCTTGTGTGAGTGGGTGGTCAGGCGGTAAGAAAGCAGGATGTTTTTGCTCGTAGTGTAGTCCTGATCGAGAAATTATGCCGCCCACTATTCTCCACCAATGATTGGGTTTAGTTTACGGAACGGTTTCAATAATGGTTTTTTACATTTTAAGCTGTACGACTCTGTACATATTTAACTATTTGTATTAAAGCTTTGAGCCGTTAAACAATGTTTAAGAAGTTATAACGATTTAGCTGATCAGGATTACTAACATTTTTAATAAAACGGTAAAAATACGTCAAAATGTTGACAGGCTTTCGCAACGAAAAATAACGATTTATAAGACCGTCGAACAGAGTCGGGTAATTTGCAGAGTTATTATTATTGTCCGATAGAAATGCAACTGATTTACGTGTCTCGGCTTCTATCACGACCTCGTCGACTTTGGACTACTGTAGTTAGTATTGTATGAACATGAAGGTCAAGACTCATTATTTTCATACCTCCATTTAGGCCCTGCCTACCATAGTGAATTGTGAGGTATTTTACCCGGAAACTGTCCACGCGAAAAAATATCAACTGGATTATCTTTACCGACAAGATGATGCCAGTAATCGATAGGTGTAATGTCCTAATATGACTATCGCAATTTGCAAAGAAGTGGCCCAACGGCAAGCGAGGAAAGTAGATGACGCTATGCCATACGTGACCGTATTTAAACGATATTCTTGAGGAGTCCCTTTTGACGAAGCTCTCCAAAAATGCGCTGACAGTCACCATGGTCTGGTGATACAACAAGCTGTCGATACATTACATACATCTACCATGATAACGATATTATGTTCCCTAAACCGTAAAGGTATTTCCAAAATATTAGGTTGTAATTTTGGACCGATAAGTAGTGTCGTTTAGAAAATGGGGAAGAAAGTCTTTGGCAGAAGCGTCGAAAACAACCCGAAGTCTTGTGGTCGCGGAGTCTTGGCGTAAAACACAGTGATGCGGAATATAGTATTTGCCTTTACCCATCTCTGTAAAAGAACATTTGGACGATCGTGTACTGGTTTTGGAATTATTTAATTGCTTATCTGTCGCGGCTACAAATAATTCATATTTAGATTGCAAAAACGATTTTAGCTGTTAAAATGAGGTAAATCAATATCAGAATATTTTTCCTCAAAACTACGTCGCAATCCTGAGTCGAGGTTCGATAAAATGTGATACACTAAAATAAAATCTCAATGATTGATAGATAAGTTAATAGTTTTCTAAAGGTATAAATTTTCTTCGAGTAATCAAGTATAATAATAATAATAATAATAATAAAATATCTTTATTCACATAGACGCTTGCGCGTTCTTATGAAACGTCAAAATTTTACAAGAAATGAACACGTTCGTAAGTTACCACCGGTTCGGAAAGTGATTAACGAAACTCATACGGATTGTTGCCTGTGAACTCAATATTTAAAATATCGTGCCAAAACGTAAATGCTTAATCGAGTTTATTATTCTAGCTTGGTATGCATCACGATAGGACAATGGATCACGGACAATGAATTACCGCTAAGCGACGATACCAAATAATGAAATTTCTCTGTATCGGTAAGAAAATGGGAATTGTGTATCGATGCGTTATAAGTATCAAAATATTCTGGAAATATTATTATATTATATAAATATTATATACTTTATATTACTAGAAAAATTTGGTAGTACTATAATCATTTACACTACTATTTAAAACTTGTTGAAAATGAGACGATTCACAAACGGTTAAGTTGCCATTAATTGATAAAACTTTGTAATACAATGTATTACAAAACGTTGGCAGGAACATTGTAATGAATATCATTATCCTCATTATCAGTATCATCTATACTTTTTAAAATCAAAAAATTTTCAAAATTTCTGGCCATCTCCTTAACGTCCCGATAATAAAATGATGACAATAGTCAACACAATCACGGTGAGTATGGTCATTAGTAGTAATCAGTTGGTCATTAGTAGCCGAAACGCCGATCTCTAAAGCTTTAGTCAATCGTTTGTAAGCGATAGTTCGTTAATGACGGCAAATCTCGTTCATTCACACTTGTCCATATATTTCGACTTAGACCTTTTTAAAGTATTTAATTTACGAGTAGAATGCTTGGTTACTTAATTTGATCTTACAATAATTCGCGAATAATGAGAGACAAAATAAAATGTTAATAATGCCCATTCGATGGTGATAGGCCGTGATTATTAACATGTAATTATTTAGTTATAGGATATTTCATATGACGGACAGACAGAGAGAAAGACAGTGACAGCGGAGTCTTTGTAATAGGGTCTCGTCTTAATATTGAATTCAAAATAAAACTGCCGATTAAACAAGTTTTAAAAGCTCGTTAAGTACATCTTATACAGTGAAATATTTTGTAACTATATGGATTGAGGAACATAAACATAGGTATAAACTAAACAAATATCACTTAAATTGGAAACATCAACCTGCTTTACGTAGAATGCCCCTTATGTCAATGTTTAAGGAAAAACCTCGATCGATAATTGTGGATAAAAAAATTTGAGCAATTATAATGTATTAAAGAATATTTAAAACAATACATGACGATTTTCTTTTATCTGATAAGTTATAAATATCTTATCTTACGAATTAATGCATGTATTTTCCGTATATATAAGGCGGATAAAATTGGTGTAGTTAAGAAACTATCAGAAATGCACACCTTTCTGCTGTTGGCTTTAGGCATTGCGGCGGTAGCAGGTAATTATGTTATTTTATAATAACGAAAACTATAGTAATGAATGTAATAAAAGAATTTTGACAAAAAAACTGCTCATTTAATTAAAATACTTTAATTACTTTAGTTACTTCTTATATTCAACATGGTGGCAGTACCTAACATTCACTTACTTTACTACTTACTTACTTTCTAAACTCAATGAAATATATTCTCATGCGTTATCAATATCATCTTAGTAAGGACAGAAAGAAATGAGCTTAACCAATTAATAAAAGAGAAAGCTTGTAAATAATGGCAAAATGATTAGAAGAACAATTAATAATAATTTGCATAACGATTATTACTGAACTTATTGATTCCAGCTGCACCAGAGAATCCTCAAAGGATTGTTGGTGGATCTGTGACCACAATCGACCGGTGGCCATTAGGCGCAGCTTTACTTTTTTCAAGGACTGGAGCTAATCACCGCCAATCCTGTGGTGGTAGTATTTTGAACAACAGATCTATTCTTTCTGCTGCTCATTGTTTCGTGTAAGAACCTTTTATTGAACTGATTTTTTTATAAAACATTTTTTTACTGCATCGTTTCAGCGTGTCATAAAGGACACATGCTATCTTTTGGGTTGAAACATTTTTTTTATTAACTGTTTTCTCTCGCAATTGACCACTGTTGTAATAATTTTTCAGTGGTGATGCCGCAAACCGATGGCGCATTCGTGTTGGATCTACATGGGCCAACAGCGGTGGTGTAGTCCACAATACAAACAATATTAGAATGCACCCCAGCTACAATTCACGCACCCAGGACAATGACATCGCTGTTTTGCGTTCAGCAAGCACCTTCGCATTCAATAACAACGTTCGTGCTGGCAACATCGCTGGTAGCAATTACAACCTTGGTGACAATCAAGTAGTATGGGCTATCGGATGGGGCGCAACTTCTGTAAGTTAGATCGAAGTTTTTAAAAAACACATTTTTAGTCATTTAAATTAGTGACGATTACAAGTTTCAAAAATAGTATTATAAGTAAGAGTCTCTGATGTATACAGCGTGTCGTTACCATCGCGACAATAAATGAACACACATATAGGGGATAACTTTTTAAAGTTGTATTAAACATTTAAATTCTTTAAACATCAATATTTACAGGGTTATTAAATTTTTAAAAACAAAGAATTTTAGAACAGCCTTACCTATAAAAGCGTAACGTAAAGTTCATTTGTAAAGGTTACAAAGCATATGAATGGGTTGAATGAATTTAAAAGAGACAAAACATACTGTTAGTAGGAGAGGCTTATAATACGACGTTGTGGCGCGAGTTGTATAGGATGTTACAAATTTTGTTTCTTTTTTACTTAATTACTTGGTTTGAAAAATATTTTTTTTAATTATGGATTTTGTTTAACGTTCATACTTTTTTATGATTATTGGCAAGTAGCGTTAGACGTGTGTTCATTTATTGTCGCGATGGTAACGACACGCTGTATAACATTACATAGCGGAAGAAATTTATGCAGATACTACAAGTATACATACATTAACATAAAAATAATATGTTTACATCTAAAATTTATCATTAGTTAGTTAATTTGTTATAACTTATTTAATTTATTATTTTCAGGCCGGTGGACCTGCTTCCGAGCAACTGCGTCAAGTACAAATCTGGACTATAAATCAGGGTGTGTGCAGACAACGTTACGCCACAGTCGGCAGTGCTATCACTGATAACATGTTGTGCTCCGGTTGGCTTGACGTTGGCGGTCGCGACCAGTGTCAGGGTGACTCTGGCGGTCCACTTCTTCACAACAACGTCATCGTCGGTGTCTGCTCTTGGGGTCGTGGCTGCGCACAAGCATTCTTCCCCGGTGTTAACGCCCGTGTCTCCCGTTTCACAAGCTGGATTCAGTCGAATGCTTAAATAAGCTAAAAAAGTTTTATGATGAAAGTCAACTTTTAACAACTACAAAAATTGTGTTTCTAAGCTTTTTGTTTTTCATGTAATAAATCGTTGAATACAAATAAATATTCTTTTAAATTTCTATGAATTTATCTAATTTCTAAGAAAAGTAATTAAATTTTACATGTTTGCTTCAGGCCAAAAGATCATTTAATTTCAAAAGTAAAGAAATGTACATGAAACGTAATTAATTTTTGATAAGCAGAAACCCGGACAGCGGTTTCCTATTGTTAGGCAGTTCCCCATCTGAATTATCCTAAGCTTCCATTTGCACAAATATCCGAATTCCTACGACGGAAAAACATAACTCAACGTGATATAATACAAAGAATTAGTTCCATATTCAGTGGCTTTGTTTTTTTCAAGTCAAGCCAAAATTTCTTTATTCAACATAAGCTTATTTTAAGCTCTTATTGTACGTCAAAAACTACCACCAGTTCACTAAACTAGACCTGCAAGAGAAGAGGCAAAAAACTTACAATTATTTACAAAATTATGAATTAAAAAACAATATTTTTTTACAAATTATTTAAGTATAGTATAGGAGCCGTGATAGCTCAGTGTCCGGGCGCTCGCCTTTAATTCAATATACTCGAGCAACCTGAGTTCGATCCCCGGTGCCGGCACCAATGAAGTTTTTAACTTTAAGTGCTGACTTATCACGTGCTCCGCGGTGAAGGAAAACATCGTGAGGAAACCTGCATATTTTCGAAATAATAACAAAAAAAAATATATTTCGAAAATATGTGACGTCCGCCAATCCGCAGTGGGGCCGCGTGGTGGACTATGCCCTGATACCCTCTGTATAGAGGAGGCCTTTGCCCAGCAGTGGGACATGTATAGGCTGTTACTTTACTTTTACTTTTATTTAAGTATACAAATAATTATTTAATTACAAAAGTATTTATGTATAAAATTAGCCAGGGGACTTGCAAGTGCAGAGCAATTGCCATTTCCACACATCCTTGTCCTCAATGTATTAGAATCCTCCACATAATTAGAAAATGTTTGAAATTATTTACACTTAATTGTTTGTGGATGTCACTTATCTATTCTATCTAGGGTGGCTTTTCTAAGTGTATCCATTTTTTTTACTAAATTCTAGACATAATTAATATTATATAAAAAAATGATAAATATTTAAAATCACTCGTAAGTAATTAATTACATTCATTTGAACTTATTTCAACTTACTTCTCAAAAAGTGCGTGATTTATACGCAAGTCATTTATTTACGCGCGATCATTCATAACTAACACGCACACAAGTTCGTGCACAGTCAAATTTAGGTATTTATAAATGACTACCGCATGGTCAACACGTTCCTTTTTTAGGGAATAGAACGGCATTATTTTTGGAAAAAAATAACTTTGTTTTTTATTTCAATAAACGATTATACTACCGAGTCTAAACCTTCTGTGTCAATTTGGGCATTTGCGTGGTTTAGACTAACTACAACCAAGAAACAATTTCTTGGTTGTAGTTAGTCTAAACCACGGTATTTCCAGCGTGTCACCACGGCCTTTATTCAGTGATAAGCACGGGTATATTATTTTGAAAAACGGTAAAACAGAATAATTAATGAGTTATGACAACGCTTAAGAGGTTTCAGCACAATTTTGCCGTGATTTTTTGTAGCTCAGTGTCCGGGCGCTCGCCTTTAATACATATAAATATATGTAATAAGTTGTATTTTTCATATACTCGAGCAACCTGAGTTCGATCCCCGGTGCCGGCACCAATGAAGTTTTTAACTTTAAGTGCTGACTTATCACGTGCTCCGCGGTGAAGGAAAACATCGTGAGGAAACCTGCATATTTTCGAAATAATAACAAAAAAAATATATATTTCGAAAATATGTGACGTCCGCCAATCCGCAGTGGGGCCGCGTGGTGGACTATGCCCTGATACCCTCTGTATAGAGGAGGCCTTTGCCCAGCAGTGGGACATGTATAGGCTGTTACTTTACTTTTACTTTTATTTAAGTATACAAATAATTATTTAATTACAAAAGTATTTATGTATAAAATTAGCCAGGGGACTTGCAAGTGCAGAGCAATTGCCATTTCCACACATCCTTGTCCTCAATGTATTAGAATCCTCCACATAATTAGAAAATGTTTGAAATTATTTACACTTAATTGTTTGTGGATGTCACTTATCTATTCTATCTAGGGTGGCTTTTCTAAGTGTATCCATTTTTTTTACTAAATTCTAGACATAATTAATATTATATAAAAAATGATAAATATTTAAAATCACTCGTAAGTAATTAATTACATTCATTTGAACTTATTTCAAAAAGTGCGTGATTTATACGCAAGTCATTTATTTTACGCGCGATCATTCATAACTAACACGCACACAAGTTCGTGCACAGTCAAATTTAGGTATTTATAAATGACTACCGCATGGTCAACACGTTCCTTTTTTAGGGAATAGAATGGCATTATTTTTGGAAAAAAATAACTTTGTTTTTTTATTTCAATAAACGATTATACTACCGAGTCTAAACCTTCTGTGTCAATTTGGGCATATGCGTGGTTTAGACTAACTACAACCAAGAAACAATTTTCTTGGTTGTAGTTAGTCTAAACCACGGTATTTCCAGCGTGTCACCACGGCCTTTATTCAGTGATAAGCACGGGTATATTATTTTGAAAAACGGTAAAACAGAATAATTAATGAGTTATGACAACGCTTAAGAGGTTTCAGCACAATATATTAGTCCGGAAAAACAGCTAGAAACCAAACTTGTATTATATGTAAACATTTTATATATAATATTAATCACTGTTTCACAATTTGGATTGAAAAACATTTGCGCGAGATTTAGTAATAATCATGAAATCCATGCTTTCATTTACAATTAAGAGATTATGAAGATTACTGGTTCAATATTTGTAACAAGACGGTTGGCAAGAGTATAATACATTAACATGCGAGAAGTGGTTTGTTCCTGCGTATCCTATATTTTTTGCATTCGTGTACCGGTTCTTCCAACTTTGGATACTTCCATTAAAGGCTTAATATTAATTTGTAATTTTTTGTAGTCACTGTTAACATTAAAGAGCGTAGTTTTACCAATTAATGATGTTTTGTAAAATCGAAACTTCGGTATTGTGTAGGTTATTTTTGTAGAACTTTCAATTGCATCAGTAGTAAATATATGTAATAAGTTGTATTTTTCATAAAAGTAATTTGATGTAAATATATTCTAATTCGTGCCTATATAAATATATTCTAATCTAGAGCCGTGATAGCTCAGTGTCCGGGCGCTCGCCTTAATTCAATATACTCGAGCAACCTGAGTTCGATCCCCGGTGCCGGCACCAATGAAGTTTTTAAGTGCTGACTTATCACGTGCTCCGCGGTGAAGGAAAACATCGTGAGGAAACCTGCATATTTTCGAAATAATAACAAAAACAAAATATTTTTCGAAGATATGTGAAGTCCGCCAATCCGGCAGTGGGGCCGCGTGGTGGACTATGCCCTGATACCCTCTGTACAGAGGAGGCCTTTGCCCAGCAGTGGGACATGTATAGGCTGTTACTTTTCTTTTTTACTTTACTATATTCTAATTAAAATGATAGAGTTCTGTCGTTGTGCAATTCATGGAAAAATTACTCGATAGATTTAAACTGAATCATCAAAGCTTTTTTAACCACTTGGCTTTATCTATAGTAATATCGTCTATCGTCATAATAATATGCAAAGTAATAAATAACGATTTTTTATAAGCATTTTGCATCGCGTTTAGTGATGTGTGTTTTCTTGTCTTAAACAAGCGGGGCAAACGGAGTTATTTGTTGATATAATAAGCAACGCAGATGAAGTCGCGGGTATGAGCTAGTAATGTTAATAAATATCTTCAAATGTGAGAAAGATTAACGTCGCATAATTAAGTTATAACATTAGAACTATATGTTGTAACATAATTATACGACTAGAAGGCTAGTAGGCATTCTCTTTTGTTTTATATTATTAAAAAAAAATTCAATCTGTTTATTATAAGGTATTTTTAATCCAGGAGAATCCCATAATTGCCAGATGCAACTTCTTCTATGTCAGGCACGTTGTTTTTAGAGTTCGGTACCCAAAGGGTAAACGAGACCCTATTACTACAACTCCGCTGTCTGTCTATCCGTCTGTTATCAGGCTGTATCTTATGAACCGATAGATAAACAGTTGAAATTTTCACAGTTAATGTATTTTTGTTGCCGCTTTAACAAAAAATTCTAAAAAGCAGAATTAAAAAAAAATTATGTGGGCATCCCATACAACAGACATGATTATTTTGCCGTTTTTATAGAAAATGGTATGGAACCCTTCGTGCGCGAGTCCGGCTTGCACGTCGCCGGTTTTTTTTTAATTATATATAATTAATGTATAATAAATTATATTGTTTTTAGAGCGTTTGGACGCAACCTTATTCTATTATCTTTTATTTATTTGTAACTAGACAATCTCCAGTAATTGATTGATACGGGACTCTCGAAACACTTGATTTATAAGTATGTGGATTGTTTATATAATGCCTGATTAAAGTAAATGTTGGGATTTTAACACTACCATCGGCATAGGACAATGCGCTCAATTTGTGCATTATTTGTCGCGGCTTTAAGCCTTTCCACTGTTCTAGGTGAGTCATATTTTATAACTATTTCATTTTATGAATATTCTAATACAATAGTACACGGAAATATCATTAATGATGTTATTGACGGTATTATTGTTGTACAGCCTTCTTCATGTAAATAGGCACTATATAAAAATACTTTATTAACGAAGATTTCGTTATTTAATAAACTTAGACAAAATTGTAGTACTTGTGCTGTGTCGTGTTATCTGTAAAGGGAAGACTTTTTCTTGAATAACATAATTATGTATGTATCTATATATAGAAGCATGATATAATTTCCTCGAATTAATATTCAGCCTTACCGAAGAAACAGCAAAGGATCGTCGGTGGTTCGATTACTACAATAGACGCATATCCTTACGCCGCTTCGCTTCTTTACTCTTGGAATTTGGCAAACTATTTGCAATCATGTGGTGGTGCAATTCTAACCAGTCGCGCAGTTCTTTCAGCAGCTCATTGCTTCTAGTAAGTATCTAATACTATTTACTACAATTGTTTTAATGAATTGCATTGACAGTTCCCTGTTATTATAATTAGTTATATCGGTTTAAAGACGTCACACTTTACACTGTAGCATCCTATCTAACTAAAATTATGTGAATTGTTTAATAAACATACGTAAAATACCAACTCGAAAAAAAAAGCGGATTCGCCAAATCGATAATTGGATCAGATTTGAATTATTTAATTTGAGTATAGTTTGTGTGAAAAAATAATTAACGGTATCCAAGGTTAACTCTGATATTAGGCCGTAAAACAACTCGGTCCGTTACCGTTAGCACTGTAGTGTTCGAAACGTCGAGAATTTAAAATCAAAATAAAACGCGACCAAGTTCGTGAAATAATTGCATTTAAACATGTATATTATAGCTGTATTAAAAACAAGAAACGAAGAAATCAAAATGAAAGAATGTGTTACTTAATCTGTATCCCATTATCTGTAAAATGCTTCTCTAGTCATAATTTTAACTTAATTTCAGTGGTGATACAACAGTCAGGTGGCGCATAAGAGTCGGCTCCTCGTGGGCGAATAGCGGCGGTGTGGTTCACAATACCGCTCAAATCATAACACACCCCAACTACAACAGCCGGCTAATGGATAACGATGTAGCGATCCTACGTTCCGCCACCACCTTTACGTACAACAACAGAGTTCGAGCTGGCAGCATTGCTGGTGTTAACTATAATCTGGCGGACAATCAAGCCGTTTTTGCAATAGGATGGGGTGTTACTTCGGTTAGTTTTCCTTTCATCCTTTTTTATTTTTCGTATAATTAACTGGCCAATGTCGACTATCCGTAACTCTAAGCCTCTAGGTAAGAGATCAAAGACAGTAAGTATTGGCAGGAAAACCGCCCTACTTGTATTTGAAGTTTTAGTTACAAAATAATACAGAGTGCTAGATAGTGAACATTACATTTTTGAAGTATATTTTGAGAAGTAGGTTACATGTTTGAAACCTTCTTTTTCAAAGGTCAGCGGTGCCGCTTCAGAACAACTTCGCCACGTGCAGATATGGACAATAAACCAGACCGTGTGCAGGAATCGCTACGCTGAGTTGGGCCTTCAAATCACCGACAACATGCTGTGTTCGGGCTGGCTTGATGTAGGCGGCCGTGATCAATGCCAGGGTGACTCGGGAGGTCCACTTATCCACAACAACGTCATAGTGGGCGTATGTTCTTGGGGTCAACAGTGCGCGCTCGCTCGTTACCCAGGCGTGAATACGCGGGTATCACGTTTCACTTCATGGATTCAAGCGAATGTCTAATGCATGTTTTACATTGAGATAAAATCTTTGATTTAATAATTTAAATTAAAAAATTGAATTGTAATATGTAACTCATTATTTTTTATTACTTTGATTGAAACAGTTCGAGTTTTGACGGGATGTTTTATCTGGTAATGTCGATTTTCTTAACTTATCTTACATAATAAACAGCTCTTGCGAAACGATACCTTTAGCAAGGAATAGCTTTAAAATGACCTTCTGACTTACTAGCCAACCACGGCAGGTTAACGGTCTTCTATAAATAATTATATGAATCATACAATACCTTAGACAATGATGTAGACTTTCAAGTTTGTGCACATACCTGCAAAAGAAAAGGGTAGAAAAATTAGTAATTCTAGACAAAAATTAGCAAATCCACCCCATCAAATACTGTATAATTTATATGTATATATATTTATTTATTTTTTATTTATTAATTCACTTTACGGCTAGTACAGGCAGATAAAAGTATGATTTCAATAAAATAGTGTGCAGCACATTTGTTAACAAAAATTTTGTGCTAAACTTTAGCAGTGCTCGTCCTGACCTGTAAGATCATTTCACGACAGCAAGGCTGTGTGTAATTTTTGTACGCACACTTGTGCACGAACGTGTTCACTGAGCAGAGTTTCTGCCTTTCCTGATTAATATGGACGGGCAGGAAAATGTAGTACTATGTGGTGCAACATGTATTTTGTTGTGTATTCTGCTTAAAAAGAAACGAAGAAGGAAAACGTGTTATTGGGTGATAGTGAGTGCCCAACCTATTACTACGCAATGAAGTAACGAATAGATTTGTGGAAGAAATAAAAATTGATCCATTGTGTTGATTTAAAAACTCCACTCGTATATCGTGGGAAGGTTTAGAGTTCTTGGTCAATAGAGTTAGTTACTCATTATTAAACAATTTACCATAATTATATCATTCGTCCAATCCATAATCGCTGTTCCACGAATGGGCAGGTCCGACGAGCGTAAAATGGAATTGTTAAACTTCTGCGTTTCGACAGGTGAGTGAGGTAGCCGGGGCCCACTTTATTAAAAAGTGGCAACGCATCTGCAACCCTACGGGTGTACAAATGTCCAAGGGTGGCGGTTATCATTTTACATCAGGTGAACAGCCAGCTCGCTTGCCATCTTCTCATGAATAAAAAAACTATAAAATGTGCGCGTACAAGTAAATGTTATCATTTACTTTTACTCATTCCGGCAGCGGAAAAAAGACTGAGTGTGTACGCAACAACACGAGTCCACTGCTTGCATGAGTGCGCGCACAAAAGTATACAGATGTGCGCGAACATTTTAGACATGTTGCCGCAGATTTTGTTACTATTTGTTTTAGTGAGCCGACCAGAAAAAAACATTTGTGTCACACACTGTAAGTTACAGTGCCGCACAGTTCAGCACACTGGTGGAATCGCATCTTAACAGTTAAAATTAACCCGGGAACTCACTTTGACTTCAGTTTTGAAGAGATGATGTTGGAGAAGTCGGCGAAGCCGCTTCCTTAAGGATTTCATCTTATAAAAGTAATTACTTTTACGTACATGATATCTAATCTAATGTACACTTTTCTTTATCTTCCTAGAAGGCAAGATTGCAATTCATTCCTAGTTCAATATCTTGTATTTTTCCCATAAAGAATATTTAATGCTGAGTAATGTGATCTATCTAGCTAGGAGTTTTAAGAGTAAATTTAAATATGATCGAACGATGCCCAGATGACGAAAACAGGCAACTTGTAAGAAGAGGAAGAATATTAAGCACATTCATTAGCAGCTCTAATTAAATGATATAAAATTATTTGTTGTTAGACCACTTCAACAAAATAAATTTAATTTGTTGAAGTGGTCTTTTCTAGAGAAAAAAACCACTTTTGAAACAAAATTTCTTTTGTAAAGCGGTTGCAATACTTTCACTTAAAGTCACTCTCTAGTGTGCCTCGGTTACCTTAGTCATCAGTTGAAGTGCAAAAGTGCAAATACTTCTATTTTTTTTTTGTAAAAACATTGCCCTTACTTTAGGATAACATTATCCTGTGTTGTAAGGACGTTTTACAAACATAAATTTCACGCGGACAAACACCCAGATACGAAACAACTATATTGTGGGTCACACAAATAGTTGTCCCGTGCGGGAATCGAACCCACGACCCTAGACGCCGAAGCCAATACCTTGACAACTGCGCCACGGAGCCATCAACTACTAATATTTCATCTTCGGTGAGACCATTATACTTATCTAGATAATCATGTCTATGCTTTCTATCTATCTAAGAGATCAAACTAGAATATGCAGTTAGGACTATCCAAATCCTTCCACACAAATCGTCATACTCAAAATCTTCTTCAATTTTACGCGGTCTTCTGAGACTGAGGAACTCTACTCTACCTCAGACAACCCTGATCATTTAAGTAACAGCAGAAGTTGTTACGTGGTCTGATACCCAATTCACGTATTACCCCAATACTGGGTCGTGTATTTATTTATTTATTTATTCATTTATGCAAAAACTTAACTTAAAAAAAAAAGGATTACAACAGGCGGTCTTAATGCCATTTGAGCATTCTCTCCCAGTCAACCCGGGGCGGTATTATTTTCGATATTTCCATTATAAATTGATGAGCGATTCATACAAAATTCGTACAATACCTATCGATCATGATAAAGTACAAATGTAGCCGCTTATTATTCGTTAAAATTAAACCGGGGGGGGGGGGGGGGGTGTTGCTTCAAAGTCAACCCTGACCGTACCTTAACTACGTGCTATGAAATCATCTTCAATGTCGAACAACAACACGCGGCAAGTTCAAGTGAAAATCGATTCAGGTGTTCGGTGGATTCCGCCGTTGTTCGGCGCCCGTGTATTTCCCCGGTGGCAACGAGACAGCTGCACACTTTTTCGGAAACAGTCTAAATTATTCATCGCTTACACCTTTTTAGAGTGTGCCAATGAGTCATCAGTGGAAATATTTATTACAATCTAACTTTGGCACAAAACAGGTAGCGGGAAATTGACAGTACGGTAGCAAAGAAAAAAAAAGCAAGCAAGCACATCTGGCACTCTGTAAATGCAAACAAAGGATAAGAAAGGTTAATAGTTTTATGAATGGTCTTTGTGCCTTTACCGATTCAGTAGTAATATGCGCATGGAGTTACTAGGAATCTGTAATAAATGCTTCATAACAACAGTCGCTATAACGGAAATCCACACTATATCCGAAATTGGTATTATTATATTGAAGGGACGTAAGTCTGAGGTCGCTATAACCGAAAATTCGTTAAAACCCAGGTCGCGTTATTAATGAAATCCTCTGTATTTAGTACACATAATTCATTCATGCAAAATATAGAAATATCACATCGTATTATCATCACAGATAAACTGAAATAAAATGTTGTAATTAAATTATAAATAAAATTTAAACTTATTTTATATTATCGCACCTTTAAAGAAATAGACCGCTTTTTTGCAATATAATTAAGACCATTTTGAGAACATAATGATGGATATTTATTTACTAGCTGCTGCCCGCGACTACGTCTGCATAGAATAGACTGAAAGCGTTACATTCAGACAGAAAGACAGATATAAATAAAAATATGTATAGAAATTATAGCCTATGTCTTATTCTGATGTATAAGCTATGTTTTTGTAAAGTTTCATTAAAATCCGTTCAGTTGTATTTGGGTGAAAGAGTAACAAACATCCATCCATACATACAAACTTTCGCCCTTAACATATTAGTAAGGGTACTTTAACATGAAAGGCTATTTTTATTATTAAAACTGTTAAAATAATTATGACTTTTAATTTTTATAAGAATACTTTTCCATAAAATTATATTCATTTGTGATTAATTACTGTAAAATCACATATAATTAATGACACTCAATATAATCAATCTACTTCAAAAAGTGAGATCCATACTTTTTACTTACTTTTCGTTTTCTTTGTATTCATGTTCTAATCTTTTGAAGTTTATTTTGAAAGCCACGAAAAAAAATCAACAACAAACAGCTTTTTCTATAATTCTTCATTTACGTTATCAGTGAACTGAGTACTCAACCCCCTTCTGAGACTGTGTTGTAGGTTAGACATTATGCTTTTCTAAATAATCGTAGATTTTTCTACAAGAACTTTTTTTAAAAAAATATTAATCACCGAAAGTAAAACTATGTGTCTATAATTAAAATATTGTAAATGATCCCTATGTTTATAAATTGGCTCTATTACAGACTTTTTTTAGTTTCTCAGGGTCTTAAGACTAATACGCAAATTTACAAATTTGGCAAAATGGGACAAAAATTCTTTTTAATATATCTGAAATCGTGAACTCTCATTCTGTCAATACCTGGGAATTTTTTAACATTTAAATTATCTGTAATTTTTTCTATATCACATGATATCGGAATTTGACGTTACTTAGGGTTGTGTACGAATTCTTGTTCAAGAGAATTGTTTGAAAATGGTGTTTGATGGCATGTAAAACTTCGAAAAAAGTTTTAGAAAAAATTGTACACATTTCGGCGTTTTGCCAATATGTTTTCAAATCACTTCGTCAACGTTTTTTTATTGTTTTTCCTGCCAAAATGTTTTTGCTGTCACTGTCACATTTTTTAAATTATTTTCTTTTATATTCTTAACTATGTTAATAGTTTTATTTGCGATATTCCTGTACCGTGTATTATTAAGCTGTAAGACATAATTTTTTAAAATCCATAGTTTGATTATATTAATTTAAAATGGAGAGTTCTGACACACATACAAACTATCATAGTTCCAGCTCAATTTGTGATTTAGTAAAGAGTAAAGTAAAGTATATGTTGGCGATGGTAGCATTGTAAACCGGATATGACGTTATTTACTCGAGCCAAGGGACACATGGTCGCATAGAGCAGCGGTCACTGGGATTTCGGCTGCGTTTCCGGACAGTGATATAACCACTAGTGCTACTTGTCGTTATAATAGTTGTTAATATTCAAGTTCAGTA